ATGAATGTTCATTAACTCAAAGTTATGCTACTGTCCACTTATACTGCAGTTGGAACAGAACTTGGAACTATTAGAGTTCAATAAACAAGTTCTTGGTGTATTGCCGAAGCTTCCGGGCAGTTTATACTTTGATGTGAAATTCGCTAGGTGACTGATACTGATTTAATTGTGTGAGTATGTGTGATTGTCCTTCTCAGAGTCTAATGTTTATGATGTCCATTTTTCAGCTCTTGTGGTTTTGAGCAGACCTTAGAAACCGGACTTTTTGGTTTTCTCGGTGTCCATCTACACCATGGCTGGATGGTTGATCGCCAGGTACCCATTGTACATGGGCTTTTTTAAATATTATTTCCTTCAATGCATCAGCATTTCTGTAAGATTTGAGATCTTTATTGGGGTAAAGGCGGATACTTTGATATTTCATTAGGATGTTGAGTTGGGCTCCTCCATACACAGAAGCTCCTACTTCAGACTTTTGGTAACTCTTGCTGTGTATGAATCACTTCTATCCGGGCCTCAAAAGCATGATGTTGGGTGTGAAGACGACATGTTCTATTCTGCGCTTGCATTCTCTTCAACCGAACCAGAAGAACTTACCAGTTGTAAATTTCTACAACATAAGTGTTCAATTTTTCTGGAGCAAAACTATATTTGCAAGTGATTATTCTGTTACATCTTTTCTTTGTTCTCTAATTTTAGGTGCAAGGATCTCAACCTTTTTGAGGGGCCCTCAGTTAACCCCTTATGGGTAAATGGAAGTTTATATATATGTTCAAGTGTTACTTTTTTTATTGCTTTTAATACTCGATTTATTTATGTCTCTGGGTGCAGATTCTCTTCATTAAAAAATGACCTTAAAGAGAGACAACCCTCTCTCCTACTTTGGAATGAAACATTACTTACAATATCTAAGGTGAGCTATTGATTTGTTCAGAGATAGTGACCCTCCCCTCTTTATAAAGTGAGCAAACTTTCGTCCTGAAATATATTCCTATTATTGTAAAAGTTGAAGACAAAATTTTTTTATTGCTGAATGATATTTCCTTGTTGAGTACTCATACCGATGCGGTGTGGGAAATGTTAACAGAGGTATGTTGATCTTTTTATGTTACATGTGATTATGATATGCTAACTGTTTTTTTGCATGGTTAATTAGGAAAATGATGTTGGATATTTTGTTGATTGTAACTTTAGGCCTACAAATTCAATGATTCAATCAATACTGGTAAGATCAGAATGTTGAAGTGTTATTACAAGTTCTTGCTCTATTTGATTTTTAGGCATGTTTTGCTAACTCAATGAAATCATGCATTTGATTTAGCCACTAACGAAAAATGAAAGAAAGAAGAAAAGGAAAAAAGCGAAGATGGGTCTTAAGGGGCCCTTAGTACCCAAGGAGAAAGAGGAGGATAGGAACGAAGACGGGAAGGAGGATAGGAACGAAGACAGAGACGACGAGAAGAATGAGAAGGACGATGAGAAGACTGAGGAGAAAGATGATGAGAAGGCCAAGGAGAAAGATGATGCGGAGGTCGAGGAGAAAGATGAGAATATACAGGAGAAAGCAATTATATCTGTAAGTGCAAAATTGCTGGAATGATTTCATGTTTTGTTGGAAAATGCTGCCCCTCAAACCTGTTTCTCTCAGGGCAACCGTGGCAACTTAAAAATGAGGCCTATTGATTTTTTTGGGACGATCTACCCATATTATCCACCAAAAACATGATGGCCCCTGCGCCCTTATTGCAATATGTAAGTGAAATTGGCTTTACTTTCAATTTTTGTATTTTATTTTATTTCCTCATGATTTGGATTTATTCTGTTTTCACCACAGGCAATGTGCTATTGCTCAAGGGGGACATCTTTTTTGGAGCATGTGAAACTGTGGTTTCAATCGATTATCTACTTGACCTTGTCTACTCTCTTATAAGCGGAAGTGCGAAAATGCAGGTTCGCAGCTATTGCAAACTCGATTTTGGTTGCATTCATGGCCTTCAGCCTAAGGTTGTGGATATACATATATATTTTTTCAATAGGCCCATTATCCTGAAATACAAAGAATGATATGGGATGTGGCACCGACACTGGCCAAAGGGTTTGATGTGGACATTATTGGTGATTGTAGTTCTAGCTTTCCATATTGGTTCTGTCTCTTTGCTTTGTAGTTTAGGCTGGCTGCTGGTGTTCTGATATTTGCAATTTTCACACTGCAGGACGGATGGTTTTATGAAGACACCAGAGTGGTTACTTCTTGATTGCTTGGATCTCAATGTTCGACATGGTTGGGTTGCTACTACGGTAAGCAAGTTTATCATGGGCATTGATTATGTTGTTAGTGCAAATTTTCTAATTCAGTGCACAATCATTTTATATAACGTGGCCAGCTAATATCATGATACTAATTATTAGGATTTGTTGCCTGGACCCGAAGTATTATTGGAAACTCTTAGTCTGGCTGCTTGTGAACCTGATTTTCCTCATGGTTAGTTTTATTTTTCAGCTACACATTGTTTGACCAAACTTTTTCATTGCTGCTATTGCTTTTGTTCAATGTTTTTGGCGGAGACGATCCATAAGTTTTTAAGGGGAAATCAACTTACTCCCACCGGGTAAATTATCTAATTGTCCTTTTTCTATGTGCAGTCTGTTCTGGTTGGAAACTTTTTGTTGTTTGCCACTTGTTAACATTTTAAATAACCATGTGCGAATGCTACAGCTTGGTTTCCCTACATGAAGACCTTGTTGAAAACGTTCCATGCATTATGTACTGGCACTATCAATACAATACTATAGTTAAGGTGAGACTCAACATTTGCTGTATTTTATTACAGTTAGGGGCTATGCTTAGCTGCATTCTATTTTCCCTTTTTGACCCGTTTTGATCTTATGCAGGTCAATGGAGTTGTACATTCTTTAGTCACTAATTCAAATTATTTAAGAACTAATGCATTTTGGCAGACGCTTGAGCTATGCTATTCTCTATTTTTCATAATTTCTTTGTGTGATTGAGATGGAACTTGTGCCCATTCTTAGTTGTGGCTTGTTAGGTCAATGGTGGCGGAGTATATTTGGACAGCAACTTCACACCAATTTATACGGGGCTTGATGCAGCTCCTTTGGTATGTATAACGTGGACCAAAAAATAAATCGTTTACTATGTTTGCAAAATCAAATATATCTGTACCTGCTATGCTTTGTTGTCATCGTGTAATCTTTTCTTTTTCCATTTCCATTTCCATTTCTACATGTGATATATGTATACTGTTGACATCCAAATGCAATTTACTCCTCATATACATGAAATTTTGCTCCCTTGCAAGTCGTGTTGCCTTTGTTCTTGTTCATTATTATATTACAATTGATGGTAGCTTGCATTTTTTCTTGTTCATTGTTATATTATACTGAGGATTAAACTGTGTACTGTGTGCTCTTTCTTCAGGGTTCTCTCTCTGCTCCAGAAACAAGTACCTCCGAAACATCTACCTCATTAATGAAGCAAGATTCAGAAGGGATTACATCACATGGTGACGGATTGTGTTTGAACCGCAGCTTTACACAATTGTATTCGGCACCCAATGCAGCTCCTTTGGTATGTTTAACATTGACCATAAAATGAATCTTTTGATGCTTTGTTACATTTTTTTTTACTGGTTGGTGAAATCAAATATATCTGTAACTGCAATGACTTTGTTCTCATTTTTTACTATGTTACCATCACATTTGATTTATAACTAGTCTTTCCTTTTCCATTTCTATTTCTACCGGTGATATTTGTTTGCTATATACATACTATTACCGTATACATGAAATCTTATCTTTCTTGCAAGTCATGTTGGTTGTTTGAAAGTGCATGTTACATTGAAGAAAATTAGTGCACAGTCCGTTGTGGCAATAAGCAGT